AGGGAAATTGTTTGAAAATTATTTAATTTGCCATGTGGGCCGACATATGTAATTAATTGTGTATAAAGACTTTCTTAAAGTTAATCCCAAAATTAAAGTGATCTAATAAATAATTAAGTAATTGGGTTTTGGCATCTAAATAAAGTGTGGGCCGGATTATATGTGTAGAGACCGGATCCATTAAGGTTTGTATCTGACGATGGGTCAAATACATATGGACCTATGTATAGGTTATGGTCCCCAATTCATATGTGAATTTCGCATTCTTTGTGACATCACATCAACACAAGAATAGAAGAAAAAGCATATTTAAGAGGAAGATCCATACACCCACAATCAATAATCGAGAAGAAGATTTGGAGCAATTAAATTGAAGAACAAAATATCAAGATTCAAGATACAAATCAATGGATCAAGATATGTTCCGCGTTAATTAAATTTCTTGGTGATTTAACATGAAGATCTTGACAATTATGTAAAGTCTATAAAGTTTAAGTTACATGAAAAAATTTCAACATATTGTTCTCTAGTGATGGAAAAACATGTTACAATTTCTCTGTGATCTATTGCTTACTGATTTTGCGAGTTATTATTTCATTAGATATTTTTTTTCCAGTGAATCTGTTGATATTGCATGACAAATTGGCTGCTGCCATCTTCTTTTTGTTTGTCAAATTTGGATTTCATTATTTTGGCAGCTATTTTTCCACAATATGAATTTTTTTTTCACGGGATCTCTTGCCACAAATGCATCGATTATGGATACATTTGTAAGGTTCATTTGTCATGGTTATTAGGGAAGTCCTTGTTGTTTTTGTTGAAGATGAGCTATTGAGTTTCACGACTTACATATAATAGAATGACTGGAAAAAGATGAGATCCAAAACTATGGACTGTGTCTTCTCTGGAGTCATACATCCCTTTGGTTTTACATATCTCTCAACCTTCCAAGCAGATCCTGCATTGGACTCTACTTTTGTTACTAGAATAATTAGAATAGCTAGGAAATATTGTAAACACGCTATAGTAGTATGACTATGGAAAAGATATTGGCAAATAGATTTCTTTTTTAGCATATTAGGGTCATTTAATTGTGGACAAGACACTGGAGCTGGGAAGTAGAAGTTCTCTTTGTAAGTATTCACTTATTGAAGAAGAGATGGTGCAGAAATGTGGACCTAGATAAGCCTATCCTTAGAGAACAAATAAATGTAACTGATCCCTGCAATCTCTTACACTTCTTCCACTTTCTTTCTCTAACTGATTAGAATCTGCTCATTGTAGGATAACGATTGAGATGTTTCATTTGGTATCTTGACTTTGGACTTACTGGGATGGTAACTGATTGAAGTAGAAACACTAGTGTGTAAGACATGATAATTGTTCACTCCAAATGTTTGTGAAACAAACTCTGCCGAATCTTGGAAATACAAACTTGGCTCCAAGGTCTTTAAGAAATTAATTACCCTGCCAATTCAATATGCATTAGGGAAAGAAAATACACCTTTAGGATACAACGGAACCTCTTCTTGTTAACTGCTGACGAATGAGAAACTTGATATCTGAGGCTTATACTATGCTTTGCAAAATGACGCAGAATGACACTGATGTCTAATATTAAAAAACCATCTAAAATGGCCAATTTCGTCCACTAAGTGAAATGTTGGGGATGTTTGTGCATTATTTGAAGGTTAGGAAACCATTTGCTCAACAACCATAGGTTAGGGATCATTTGCGCCAACTATTTAACCACTGAAATTGAGATTATAAAGATGTTGATCTAGCTTCAGTTAAACTAATACCTTCAAATTCTAATGGGATTCCTAAGCAACAATCATTTAGAGCAACGTGGAAAAATGGGTTTTCATTTGGCATTAAAAGCCCATATTCCGTGAGGCTGAAAACAATGGGAAAATTAGGCCCAACGTCCTATTAAACTAACTAAATTGAAAAGTACCCTTTCAAAACTAATTAAACAATTCAACCTGTAAATAATACGTCCTAAACCTAAATCCCAATCTTCATTCAGCATAAACACTCTCCTCGATAAGGGTTTTAGTTTTCATCTTCTCTAGCACTTACACTCAGTCGCCCTTCCCAAAAGCAGCAGACGAAAATGGTGAAGGGTCGCCATGGAGAGCGCGTCAAGTTGTATGTCTGAGGCACGATCCTGGGGTACAAGAGGTCGAAGTCGAGCCAGTACCCGAACACGTCCTTAATCCAGATCAAGGAAGTGAACAGCAAGGAGGAGGTAGCTTGGTACAAGGGGAAAAGAATTGCGTACATTTACAAGGCTAAGGTGAAGCAGAGTGGAACTCACTATCGGTGCATTTGGGGTAAGGTGATTTGTCCCCATGGAAACTCCGGTGTCGTTCGTGCTAAGTTCAAATCCAACCTGCCCCAAAGTCCATAGGAGCACGAGTTCGCATCTTCATGTACCCTAGCAACATTTGAAGCACTTTAAGTAGTGGTGGAACAGAGTTTGAGCATTGGTGGCTTTTAGAAGGATCTGTTTTTTTTCCCCCCTCTCCCTCTCTCCATATTTTGGTAATGTTTGTTTATCACCAATTGGACATCAAACTAAATATAGCTGATTTTGACAATTTTGGGTCACTATTTTGATCTTATTATCAATGATCTT